TGGTTTGTCAGCGGCTCCATGAGGATGTTGATGATGTTCTTGCTGCTGCTGCTGCTGCTGCTGCTGCCGCTGTGACATCTTTTACATCTACGGCGTTCATAACAAACAGCATTGCATGGAATAGAACTCACGTCTAGAAAATTGTCCAACTGTTGGGTTTATTATTTCGATTGAAGATGGCAGAATCCTAGGCACGTAGCAGCACTTTGGGTTTGGTCTGTGTCTGCACCATGGACTGCGGCAAGAACTTGCTGCTTCTTCCTAGTGTTGTGTCTGCGGAGCACCACTTCTAATGATGCAAGCGAGGTCGTTCAGCCAGCTAGCCAGCCAGCCATCCAGCCATGCCTCCCATCTGCAAGTTTTTGTTGTTGGTGCTGGGAGTCAGTTGCAGCCTTAGTTGCTTCCACAGCCTCAGCTGGTGGCTTAGTTGCAGTGTCTGTTGCAGCCTCCGTTGCTGCCTCAGCTTTGCTCTTCTCCTGGCTGCAAGCAATTCTTCTCTGGTTTTTCTTTGCTTTTTTTCCTTTTGGCCCCATGCCATGCCTGGTCCATGCTTATTTTCTATTACTGCTTTTTCCACTTAAGGCCATTGCACTTTTTACGTGCATGCCACGGAGGGCCATTGCCGTTGTTGCTGCTGCTGCTGCTGCTGGTGCAGTTGTTGCTGCGCTAGCTGGCTGTACGTGCAAAGGTTGTGAAAATGCTGCTGCTGCCGCTGCTGCAACTGAAACAGCGGCTGTGTGTGTGGAAAAGTTGGCAACAAATTTTGCGTCATGCTTGGAAAAAATGAAATGGAGCGAAAAAATGTTCGAGCTGGACAAAGTCAAAGCCTCCACTCCACTTGGACCATGGGGTCTTCTCATACTCCGGCTGTAGCTCTTGTCTCGCTTAGGCTACTGCTAGTCGTACCAGGGAAATATGGGACTTTTTAGGTTCGTTGACTTTGAACATTGTATTGGCATTGTTCTTCTCACTTTATTATTTGCTGTTGCAACAATTCGCGTGCAGTAGCCACAACAGCAGCCAGAGCTGCAGCCCAACTGGAGGAAGGCTCGCTGTGGAAAACAAAGCGCATATAATTCATAGCATCCAGGCGGAGCGGAGCGGACCAAGCTGACCCTTTCATTAGACGCAGACGGGCTAACTTTATGCATCCTGCGCGTTGATTTCCATTTAAACGACAGCGTTAGAGAAACAGAAGCAGCAGCCACAAGAGCCAAACTGGCTTCCTTGATGGCTATCCACCGGCAGTCTGTGAGTATTCAAGTCGCAGCAAAAAGCGAAAGAACCCATTAAAATAGCTGCAACTGTAGCAAATGCAACTTCTCGACAGGGACAGGGACATGGACAACGACGACGTGGTAGGTTCTTGTCACAGTCGCATGTGTCCAGACCCCTGGCCTGGCGTGGCCTGGCCTGGACTTTGATTTGCTGTGGCGACCCAGGCGGACACGACCAGCGACAACTTTGACCACCGAGGTTCTGGCTCTGGCAGAGACATAAGACACCGGATCATGGACTTTGCCACCGAATAGAGTGATGTCTGCAATCCAAGAAACCTTTAGTTTTGTTTGCTAGTTAAAGTTTTGTCTAAGTAAATGGGAAACTTTTTAGCCTTTCCCTTTCCCATAGCCTTTCTTATAGCTAAATCAGAAAAAAGAATACAAATAATTTACAAATATTATTAGAGAATCTTCTCGAAATATTTAGAAAAATCTCGATAAACAACAAACAAGTTTAACCCAAAATCCAGAAGCCTTTCCCAAGCGATTCGCTGAAGAACCAGAATTAGGACGCAGTCAAGGGCCTGGGCCACGTAATGTGGTCACTTCTGTTCGTGCTTGGGCGCGAGAAAGAAAGCACTGCTGCAGAGATCTCCCACTTATACGGCGTCTGCGTGCAGCAATTAGTGGAAAATTGCATGGGAAAATTCTATCTGGAAATATGCAAAAATGCGCGGGCGTGCCTCAATGCCTTCGAAGTCGAAAGACTTAGGACAGAAACTTACTTTGGCCAACGCATTTGGCCAGTGGAATATTTCAATACCCAATCACTATGATTACCATTTATGTGGCCATGCCAAAACGGATTGTTTTGCCAACGTTTAAAATACCCAATCGTTTTATAGATATAAGAGTAAGAAAGACGAAACGGTTCATAAATTTTTTTCCTAATACTAGATATTCTGAAACTTAACTCCACGGTGTTACTCGTATTTAAAAAATTTAAATTAACTAAGATTATTGGTACGAGTAAATCAAATTAATTTTATATAATGCCGAATCCGAAGTCATCTAGATAGCTTCATTCCAATATATTTTCGGCAGGCAAAAAAAAACATTTTTACAACTCGTAGGGGCTACCTTATGATACTAAGGCTTCCATTTGCACGAAACCAAAGAAAAAACTCATACACCCCCCTATCAAACCAGAATTACTGACTATCATAGAATGGTGGGGAACTAGTTTACTTCCTTGTTTTCGACGGCTTGGTCGAAAAAACCAACAGCAAAATCGAAACCTTAACCTTAAACTTAAGCTTGCAATCAGATGCCCAGGCCTCGCACTCTGCTGTCTCCGTTTCCCCCAGTGAACTTGCTCGTTGCATTTGTAAATTTGTTGAAAATCAGAAGATCAGAGTGGGACACGGAGGAGTTGCATGCATGCAGCGCATTTGACGTAATAGCCTCAAACAACAGCAACAGTAACAGCAACAATCGGAGGAAAAGTTCATTACTCCACTTAAGAGTACCCTGGCCACAGCCACAGCTGCACAAAGTTGAACATTCTGCTTTTTGGTGCCCCAGCCCGAGTCGACACGAATGCGGAGAGGTCGCTGAGCCGTCATCATCATACACTTTGGCTTGAGTCTTTATTTTCCACGGGTTTTCTTTTGGTTTCTTGAGTCTTATTTGGGGAGTTCGTTTTTGGGATGGATGTTAGCTGCCTGGCTGACTGGCCGGCTGGCTGAAGTGGGCGGTAAAGGAAGTTGTCGGTTTTCGTAAATACCAAACATTTACCAATATGCTAAACGGGTTTTTTCGGTTGCCCAGTCGCCAGGTTGTCCGTGGCCACGGTCGCAATCTTCTATTTCTATAGTTGGCCTAAAGGTTAAGGGGAAATCATTTCAAAGGAAGATGTACATCAAGCTGATAGTGGCAAACGGCAACCTGTATAGTGCACATAAATTGCAGTGCCAGAGGCCCCCGTAATTGGTCTCCGGGTCTTTTTTTCGGCCAATTGTTATGAACATGTCAAAGTTAACGACTTTGCCTAGCCGTCAGCCATTCGGACTGTCAGCTGGTCAAAGTGTTAAGTGGCTAAGAAAGACGAGGTGTTGCTCCGATCAATGACTCTCTCTCCCACTCTGTAAAGTGCCTGCCATCTGGCGCTGGCCAGCCCCAACTTGTGGTTAAGGGGCCTTTGCAAATAACAATCTATCTTTTTAATGGCATTAAATTGCAACTTCAAAAGCATGTGGGCACGATGAAGCTTAATTCGGAATGGGTTTTCAGAGAAGACTGTGATATGGGTTGTTCTACCTAAACATGTAAGCATCTCCTAGTCGTAGATGCTTACATGTTGAATGCTTTCGATGTTCTGACTTGGCCCAGAAAGTTGATTGAATTGTTGGTTTTACTTATAGTATTAAGTATTATAGTATTAAATTCGACAGATTACAAACCACTAGATTTTACCAGGGAGTTTGGACATTAAAAAGAAAAGAACTAATTTTTAAAATATGATATTGTGAACCTTTATACATTGCCATAAGTCTCTGCGTTTATATATTTATGTACGAGTATATTCAAAGTATATTTTATTTATTTATGGACCGTTATAGACTGTTCAATAGTTGGATAGACATTTGATAAGATCATCGCCATCGATACATGACGTACAATCAAATAAAAACATGTTTAATAACACAATGAAGAGATACCAACTCAGAACAAATTCAAACCAAAATTGAATATATCCTTATTGTGGAATAGGAATACCCATTTTCGATTGATCACAAATATTCAAACCATACATCTCTATAAACGTGCGGTAATTTAATTAATTCAAATGCTGCTCATAATCGTAATCGGGCATCGAGGCTAATATTTGGTGCCTGGAGCAGCGCTGGAAATACATAATTCATTGCTTGATTTGCGTTTATTGTTTTGATTTGTGATTAGAAGCCATAAATACTTATGCCACCGTGATGCCGTCATCATTATGCACATCATTCCCTCTGCCTGCTGCAACGTGACTTGTCCAGTGCTGGGTTCTTCGTTTCGCTCAGCTTTTTCTATCAAAATAATTCAATTGAATAAAATATTTAAAGCCCGCTTGGCTTGTGCTAGTCGTCTGCCATTCCATTCATTATCATGTGCGGGGCGGGTCTCGGTCTGTGCCTCACTGCTGTGTCATTCGCCATGTCATATGCCGATTGTGAGGCTTGCAAACTAACCATCTGAACAGGCTTCCCAGACGAGACCATGGGTGCACTATGAGCTCATCATGAACACGCACCCGGCGCACCAAACGACCTTGATGGTGGAAGAAGCCAGGGTTGTTGGGGGCGGTACATCACTGACACGCGCCCCCAGAACAGTCCAGGCCAGCCTAGTGGCAATTAACAGATAATTACGGCTAAGTGATCTTCCCCGGGGGCCTGAAGCTTCGTTAGAGTTGATGTTGATGATGATGATGGAAGTTGGTGGAGAAGGAGATTGCCGTCGCCGAATGTGGTAATGTTACCGAGTATTTTATTGATAAGCTTTTTTTCTCGATATACTGCGAAATAAAGTTGTACCTAAGACCCGCAAACAGTCTTGCTCGGTAGTTCTGGAAACTGATATGAAATACATACATATATTGCATATAGCGTTAAAGTGCATGGTGAAAATAGGGGGAAATCCCTTTATTTATTAAACTGATATGAAATACATATATTGCATATAGCGTTAAAGTGCATGGAGAAAATAGGGGGAAATCCCTTTATTTATTACAAAAAACCAATCATCTAATTTTGGTCTGCGATGATCGCATTCATGCCGTGATTTCGCCACGCAAATTCATCTTCATCAGCTACAAAAACAAATTTTATTATATTATGTGAATTGCTTTCAATTGCAGTTTACCTCAATCTTATTATGGTGCGGTAAATCAGTGCCCAGGACATAGGCTAGCTTGGTATACGCTGCCTCAGAAGTCATGTCTGATCCAGATAAAACGCCCAAATCGCTAAGCACTGCTCCAGCATCGTAGATTGCGGCTACGGAGCCGGACAGGCACTGAGTGCAGTTGACGATGATAACTCCGCGATTGACGGCACTCCGTAGAAGAGAAGTTATCTCGGTCCAGTTTGAGGGTATATTACCAGAGCCATAGGACTCCAGGACAACTCCCATAATGGGCTCCGCCAGAGCCGATCGAATCAAATCCAGTGACATATCCGGAGTTATTCTCAAGGAGGCCACATTCATCTGAAATTCGCCTGTCACAGCGAGTGGCCTAGCTCCGGGCCCTGGGCGTACCAGGAAATTATTTATAATTATGTCACCTTCAAACGTGCCCAGCATTGGAGCGTTGGGAGAATCAAAAGCATCCAGAGAGTTGCAATTGACCTTGACCGTTCGATTGCCACGAAGCAGCTTGTTGGCGAAGACCACGCACACTTCCGGTATTTTATAGCAGCCGGATATGATCAGGGACGAGACGAAGTTGTTCCTGCCATCGGTGCGTGTTTCGTAGATGGGTATCATTGACCCGGTAACGACCACCGGCTTATCCAAATTTTCTAGGAAAAACGACAGGGCAGAGGAGGTGTACGCCAGCGTATCGGTGCCATGGAGTACAACAAACCCATCGAACAAATCGTACGTCCTCTAGAGTTAGCGATTTCTATGAGATGCATATATTTCATTTAAATTTATTTGTAATACATACACCAATATCTTGGGCTATGCGTTTCCAATCTTTCCCGGCCATATTACTGGAGTCCAGCAATGGATCGTACTCTATGAATTGGTAGATAACCCGTACTGACTGACCTTTTACCAGGGGCAGCGCCAGGAAGCCGTCTGGGACCTGTAGGCTGGGGTCATGCAGACTGACATCCTTCCGGATGAACCTTTCAAAAGCTTTCGGTTCTGGCACTAATACTAAAAGATTCAAAAACACAACACTGAACTGGAGCTATCCGTATGCACTTGGAGGCCTCTTACCACCATTGTCGTTGGGAGTCATCCCAATGGTGCCACCAGTATAGATGACAAGAACTCTTTTAAAATTTAGACACTTCGACATTTTTACCTACTGGTTTATCAGGTATACCGATCAGAAAGCGTTGCAAACAAGCACTGAACCTATTTTTTTAACCTAATAGCCAACTTAGCTACCCATAAGATAAAACGAGGGGGAACGTTGTGAGTTGCTGCGGACACCGCAACTCTACAGTTATACCCGATACTAAGTCAGTATGGCTCTCCTCCGGCAGATGGCGCTAATATTAAGCGACACGACAAAGAGTTTGTGCGAGAGAGACAGAAAATCAGTTTGAGCGTGACGTCGGGCGCTGCGTAGCCAGTGCAAATTGGTTTGTTCCTTTTGGCTATAAAAATGACCTGATCTGATCCAAATTCAGCAAGGTCATTCTCTATGATTCTGCGTTTTTAGTTTTCTCGAATCTGCAATATTGTGGATGCAACAGATTTTCGTCCTTTGTGGGGGCGGATGGGGGTGGGACGAAATTCTGAGATATACGTTTTATAGTGACATCTTAAAGGAGTGTGTGTACCAAATTTGGTTACTCTAGCCTTAATAGTCTCTGAGATTTGTGGTTGCCTCAGATTTTCGTCCTTTGCGGGGGCGGAAGGGGATGTGGCGAAATTTGGACATGAAACGGTCAAGGTCCGATATCACAGGAGTGTGGATACCAAATTTGGTTGCTCTGGCTTTTATAGGTTCTGAGATCCTTGAACTCATATTTTGCAATTGGCAAAACCGACCATGAAACCTGTGGTTTAGAGTGAGACAGAGCGAGAAAGAGTGAAATTGTTTTCGTGATTCTGGCTGTAATAATTATACGATCTGGTTCAGATTTTGCACTCTAGAAGATATAGTCATCTTCTACGATTCTTTAGTTTTCTCGTATCGTCGAAATTGTGGATGCCACAGATTTTCGCCCTTTGTGGGGGCGGAAGTGGGCGGGGCAAAGTTTTGAAATATTTTTGGAACAGTGACATATCACAGAAGTCTGGATCCAAAACATCGTTGCTCTAGCTCTTATAGTCTTTGAGCATTAGGCGCTGAAGGGGACGGACAGACGGACAGACGGACGGACGGACAGACAGACATGGCTCAATCGACTCGGCTATTGATGCTGATCAAGAATATATATACTTTATGGGGTCGGAAACGATTCCTTCTGGACGTTACACACATCCACTTTTACCACAAATCTAATATACCCCAATACTCATTTTGAGTATCGGGTATAAAAATTCTGTACTTCCCCGTAACTTATTTTATGCAGTTTCGTACCTAATCTAATCAAAATCTAGCAGCATGTGCTAGCAAATAACACAAAATAACAAAAATTTATAGAAATTTCGTAGAGACATGGACTGTTGGTCCATGACCAACGTTGAAAACATTGTCCAGCAAAATATTGGGTTTACTTCTTTCTGTTTTTGTTTTTTTCAATTATCTAATCATCTAATAATATCATCGTCTAAAAACGATAAATACATATGTACATTAAGTACCGCGGCGCCTCTCTTGCCCATCTGCTTGGTGCACTCAATAGTTTGCATTTGCTCTTGCATGCTTTCGGTAATAAATTGTGCGCTCTCCTGTGGTGGTTACGAATGCTTATTATATTTCTGGAAACTGATGAGAGATGGGATTCATGTATCGAATAGGGGGAAATACTTGGTTCCGAGAATCTATAATCTAATTTTGGTTATCAAATTCTCAAATTAGCACTGAACTTTATCTTTCGACCTCGTTCTTAATGATAGCCACTCTAAAATAAGGAAATGCAACAACAAATACTAATTTTGTACTTTCCCGTAAATTGGATCGAGCGTTCGAGCGTTTGATTCGAGTTCATAAGAGGTTGTGTGTGTGTTGAAACAGTGGTGAAGGTTTATTAATTAGCAATTGGAAATTGGCGACGCCTGCTCATAGGTCGACTACGACGAATTTGGTTTGTAAAAAGGCTGTTTCCTCTTTGTGAAATAAGATAAGATTTTTTACATGGCATATTGATTTGTAGGTATTAACGAGCTACCGATTACACTTTTAAGTTGCATTTATTGAATGATTCATTAACAGTTAAATTGAAAGTTCTAGTCCCATATTGACTTGACAAATAGTCGCTAAAATTGGCGAGACTACAAGGTTGGGTGATTTGTTAGTTAAACATATGTAAGAAGGCATTCATGGAACTGAAAAAAAATTTTTTGCAATATTTATGCAAAGCAATGCTCATTGATGAGCGTTTTAAAAAGGCATTTAATTTTTATAAAGCTATGTTGATGACATTTTTAATTAGACACACGCCAAACACTTTCATTGGCTGGCGTTCGAGCTGACCCCCTCCCATTGGGCAGAAGGCCTGCAAGTTGCCTGTGGCTATAGATTATGGTTATTTATGTATATGGCTATAGTTGCGGCATTTCATCCAAGTCCCGACTTCATCATATAAACACTAATGGGCATCAAAGTCACGTAACATGTTGAAAATATACATGTACATATATGGCCAGATTGAAAATGATCGATTGGCCATTTCATTGTTATCCCACAATTTAACATAGAATATTTATTATTCCATATTTAAGTGATTCTAGAAATTTAGAAAAATTATTTTGAAATTACAAAGAACACATAAAAATATGGGATATATATTAAGGTAACCAAGGTGCTATGCTAATTTGCTTTGGTCTTACATATATATATATGTACATATGTATATCTAATCTATATATTTATGTATAATTCGGCGACTGTATAGAAGGAGATTGCCGTCGCCGAATGTGGTAATGATACCGAGTATTTTATTGATAAGCTTTTTTTCTCGATATACTGCGAAATAAAGTTGTACCTAAGACCCGCAAACAGTCTTGCCCGGTAGTTTCGCAATCAAAATGGTAGCCTCAAGCGTAGCCTAAGAACCCAAACGAATCAATACTGAGATCCACTTGGAAAAACACATGTCGAAACGGCCCCTGGCATTAAGATGTTTGGATGTGATTTTCACATATGTACATATCTCGTAGCGGTTGTCGATATTTGAGAGCCCTCGGTGGCGTAAGACAAGCAGGTGGACAGGAGAAGTGGGACAACTTCTACCTAAGGGCAAAAAGCAAAGTAGCGTGGTAAAGGGCCCTAGAACCGTTCTACCAGCATTCTTTGGTTGGAGAGAACAAAAAAATATAGATAAACACGATAATCAAGAGTCAAATTCATTTCTTAGTTGATAGACATTTATTTTTCTTGCTGCACATGTCCACCGATTGAGTAATATTATTGTGCAGTTTTTGTTTATTAATGCGCGTAAGGTTTTAATAAGTGATTAAATACAAAACTGAAATTGAGCGTCGCTCCGCGTCTTGTTCCGCAACTGGACTAAAATTCTCGCCGATCTGCTTCGTGCTCTCAATAATTTGCACTCGCTATTTCTTGCTTTGCGCTCTCCTCTTGTGGTTGGGAGCTCGCTGGGAGCGAATAGGCGAGTAAATGGTTTATGACTAATCTATTTCTGGAAACTGATATGAAATACATATATTGCATATAGCGTTAAAGTGCATGGAGAAAATAGGGAAATCCCTTTATTTATTACAAAAACCAATCATCTAATTTTGGTTTGCGATGATCGCATTCAAGCCGTGATTTCGCCACGCAAATTCATCTTCATCAGCTACAAAAACAAATTTTATTATATTATGTGAATTGCTTTCAATTGCAGTTTACCTCAATCTTATTATGGTGCGGTAAATCAGTGCCCAGGACATAGGCTAGCTTGGTATACGCTGCCTCAGAAGTCATGTCCGATCCAGATAAAACGCCCAAATCGCTAAGCACTGCTCCAGCATCGTAGATTGCGGCTACGGAGCCGGACAGGCACTGAGTGCAGTTGACGATGATAACTCCGCGATTGACGGCACTCCGTAGAAGAGAAGTTATCTCGGTCCAGTTTGAGGGTATATTACCAGAGCCATAGGACTCCAGGACAACTCCCATAATGGGCTCCGCCAGAGCCGATCGAATCAAATCCAGTGACATATCCGGAGTTATTCTCAAGGAGGCCACATTCATCTGAAATTCGCCTGTCACAGCGAGTGGCCTAGCTCCGGGCCCTGGGCGTACCAGGAAATTATTTATAATTATGTCACCTTCAAACGTGCCCAGCAGTGGAGCGTTGGGAGAATCAAAAGCATCCAGAGAGTTGCAATTGACCTTGACCGTTCGATTGCCACGAAGCAGCTTGTTGGCGAAGACCACGCACACTTCCGGTATTTTATAGCAGCCGGATATGATCAGGGACGAGACGAAGTTGTTCCTGCCATCGGTGCGTGTTTCGTAGATGGGTATCATTGACCCGGTAACGACCACCGGCTTATCCAAATTTTCTAGGAAAAACGACAGGGCAGAGGAGGTGTACGCCAGCGTATCGGTGCCATGGAGTACAACAAACCCATCGAACAAATCGTACGTCCTCTAGAGTTAGCGATTTCTATGAGATGCATATATTTCATTTAAATTTATTTGTAATACATACACCAATATCTTGGGCTATGCGTTTCCAATCTTTCCCGGCCATATTACTGGAGTCCAGCAATGGATCGTACTCTATGAATTGGTAGATAACCCGTACTGACTGACCTTTTACCAGGGGCAGCGCCAGGAAGCCGTCTGGGACCTGTAGGCTGGGGTCATGCAGACTGACATCCTTCCGGATGAACCTTTCAAAAGCTTTCGGTTCTGGCACTAATACTAAAAGATTCAAAAACACAACACTGAACTGGAGCTATCCGTATGCACTTGGAGGCCTCTTACCACCATTGTCGTTGGGAGTCATCCCAATGGTGCCACCAGTATAGATGACAAGAACTCTTTTAAAATTTAGACACTTCGACATTTTTACCTACTGGTTTATCAGGTATACCGATCAGAAAGCGTTGCAAACAAGCACTGAACCTATTTTTTTAACCTAATAGCCAACTTAGCTACCCATAAGATAAAACGAGGGGGAACGTTGTGAGTTGCTGCGGACACCGCAACTCTACAGTTATACCCGATACTAAGTCAGTATGGCTCTCCTCCGGCAGATGGCGCTAATATTAAGCGACACGACAAAGAGTTTGTGCGAGAGAGACAGAAAATCAGTTTGAGCGTGACGTCGGGCGCTGCGTAGCCAGTGCAAATTGGTTTGTTCCTTTTGGCTATAAAAATGACCTGATCTGATCCAAATTCAGCAAGGTCATTCTCTATGATTCTGCGTTTTTAGTTTTCTCGAATCTGCAATATTGTGGATGCAACAGATTTTCGTCCTTTGTGGGGGCGGATGGGGGTGGGACGAAATTCTGAGATATACGTTTTATAGTGACATCTTAAAGGAGTGTGTGTACCAAATTTGGTTACTCTAGCCTTAATAGTCTCTGAGATTTGTGGTTGCCTCAGATTTTCGTCCTTTGCGGGGGCGGAAGGGGATGTGGCGAAATTTGGACATGAAACGGTCAAGGTCCGATATCACAGGAGTGTGGATACCAAATTTGGTTGCTCTGGCTTTTATAGGTTCTGAGATCCTTGAACTCATATTTTGCAATTGGCAAAACCGACCATGAAACCTGTGGTTTAGAGTGAGACAGAGCGAGAAAGAGTGAAATTGTTTTCGTGATTCTGGCTGTAATAATTATACGATCTGGTTCAGATTTTGCACTCTAGAAGATATAGTCATCTTCTACGATTCTTTAGTTTTCTCGTATCGTCGAAATTGTGGATGCCACAGATTTTCGCCCTTTGTGGGGGCGGAAGTGGGCGGGGCAAAGTTTTGAAATATTTTTGGAACAGTGACATATCACAGAAGTCTGGATCCAAAACATCGTTGCTCTAGCTCTTATAGTCTTTGAGCATTAGGCGCTGAAGGGGACGGACAGACGGACAGACGGACGGACGGACAGACAGACATGGCTCAATCGACTCGGCTATTGATGCTGATCAAGAATATATATACTTTATGGGGTCGGAAACGATTCCTTCTGGACGTTACACACATCCACTTTTACCACAAATCTAATATACCCCAATACTCATTTTGAGTATCGGGTATAAAAATTCTGTACTTCCCCGTAACTTATTTTATGCAGTTTCGTACCTAATCTAATCAAAATCTAGCAGCATGTGCTAGCAAATAACACAAAATAACAAAAATTTATAGAAATTTCGTAGAGACATGGACTGTTGGTCCATGACCAACGTTGAAAACATTGTCCAGCAAAATATTGGGTTTACTTCTTTCTGTTTTTGTTTTTTTCAATTATCTAATCATCTAATAATATCATCGTCTAAAAACGATAAATACATATGTACATTAAGTACCGCGGCGCCTCTCTTGCCCATCTGCTTGGTGCACTCAATAGTTTGCATTTGCTCTTGCATGCTTTCGGTAATAAATTGTGCGCTCTCCTGTGGTGGTTACGAATGCTTATTATATTTCTGGAAACTGATGAGAGATGGGATTCATGTATCGAATAGGGGGAAATACTTGGTTCCGAGAATCTATAATCTAATTTTGGTTATCAAATTCTCAAATTAGCACTGAACTTTATCTTTCGACCTCGTTCTTAATGATAGCCACTCTAAAATAAGGAAATGCAACAACAAATACTAATTTTGTACTTTCCCGTAAATTGGATCGAGCGTTCGAGCGTTTGATTCGAGTTCATAAGAGGTTGTGTGTGTGTTGAAACAGTGGTGAAGGTTTATTAATTAGCAATTGGAAATTGGCGACGCCTGCTCATAGGTCGACTACGACGAATTTGGTTTGTAAAAAGGCTGTTTCCTCTTTGTGAAATAAGATAAGATTTTTTACATGGCATATTGATTTGTAGGTATTAACGAGCTACCGATTACACTTTTAAGTTGCATTTATTGAATGATTCATTAACAGTTAAATTGAAAGTTCTAGTCCCATATTGACTTGACAAATAGTCGCTAAAATTGGCGAGACTACAAGGTTGGGTGATTTGTTAGTTAAACATATGTAAGAAGGCATTCATGGAACTGAAAAAAAATTTTTTGCAATATTTATGCAAAGCAATGCTCATTGATGAGCGTTTTAAAAAGGCATTTAATTTTTATAAAGCTATGTTGATGACATTTTTAATTAGACACACGCCAAACACTTTCATTGGCTGGCGTTCGAGCTGACCCCCTCCCATTGGGCAGAAGGCCTGCAAGTTGCCTGTGGCTATAGATTATGGTTATTTATGTATATGGCTATAGTTGCGGCATTTCATCCAAGTCCCGACTTCATCATATAAACACTAATGGGCATCAAAGTCACGTAACATGTTGAAAATATACATGTACATATATGGCCAGATTGAAAATGATCGATTGGCCATTTCATTGTTATCCCACAATTTAACATAGAATATTTATTATTCCATATTTAAGTGATTCTAGAAATTTAGAAAAATTATTTTGAAATTACAAAGAACACATAAAAATATGGGATATATATTAAGGTAACCAAGGTGCTATGCTAATTTGCTTTGGTCTTACATATATATATATGTACATATGTATATCTAATCTATATATTTATATATAATTCGGCGACTGTATAGAAGGAGATTGCCGTCGCCGAATGTGGTAATGATACCGAGTATTTTATTGATAAGCTTTTTTTCTCGATATACTGCGAAATAAAGTTGTACCTAAGACCCGCAAACAGTCTTTTCCCGGTAGTTTCGCAATCAAAATGGTAGCCTCAAGCGCAGCCTAAGAACCCAAACGAATCAATACTGAGATCCACTTGGAAAGACACATGTCGAAACGGCCCCTGGCATTAAGATGTTTGGATGTGATTTTCACCTATGTACATATCTCGTAGCGGTTGTCGATATTTGAGAGCCCTCGGTGGCGTAAGACAAGCAGGTGGACAGGAGAAGTGGGACAACTTCTACCTAAGGGAAAAAAGCAAAGTAGCTTGGTACAGGGCCCTAGAACCGTTCTACCAGCATTCTTTGGTTAGAGAGAAAATATAGATAAACACGATAATCAAGAGTCAAATTCATTTCTTAGTTGATAGACATTTATTTTTCTTGCTGCACATTTCCACCGATTGAGTAATATTATTGTGCAGTTTTTGTTTATTAATGCGCGTAAGGTTTTAATAAGTGATTAAATACAAAACTGAAATTGAGCGTCGCTCCGCGTCTTGTTCCGCAACTGGACTAAAATTCTCGCCGATCTGCTTCGTGCTCTCAATAATTTGCACTCGCTATTTCTTGCTTTGCGCTCTCCTCTTGTGGTTGGGAGCTCGCTGGGAGCGAATATGCGAGTAAATGGTTTCTGACTAATCTATTTCTGGAAACTGATATGAAATACATATATTGCATATAGCGTTAAAGTGCATGGAGAAAATAGGGAAATCCCTTTATTTATTACAAAAACCAATCATCTAATTTTGGTTTGCGATGATCGCATTCAAGCCGTGATTTCGCCACGCAAATTCATCTTCATCAGCTACAAATACAAATTTTATTATATTATGTGAATTGCTTTCAATTGCAGTTTACCTCAATCTTATTATGGTGCGGTAAATCAGTGCCCAGGACATAGGCTAGCTTGGTATACGCTGCCTCAGAAGTCATGTCCGATCCAGATAAAACGCCCAAATCGCTAAGCACTGCTCCAGCATCGTAGATTGCGGCTACGGAGCCGGACAGGCACTGAGTGCAGTTGACGATGATAACTCCGCGATTGACGGCACTCCGTAGAAGAGAAGTTATCTCGGTCCAGTTTGAGGGTATATTACCAGAGCCATAGGACTCCAGGACAACTCCCATAATGGGCTCCGCCAGAGCCGATCGCATCAAATCCAGTGACATATCCGGAGTTATTCTCAAGGAGGCCACATTCATCTGAAATTCGCCTGTCACAGCGAGTGGCCTAGCTCCGGGCCCTGGGCGTACCAGGAAATTATTTATAATTATGTCACCTTCAAACGTGCCCAGCAGTGGAGCGTTGGGAGAATCAAAAGCATCCAGAGAGTTGCAATTGACCTTGACCGTTCGATTGCCACGAAGCAGCTTGTTGGCGAAGACCACGCACACTTCCGGTATTTTATAGCAGCCGGATATGATCAGGGACGAGACGAAGTTGTTCCTGCCATCGGTGCGTGTTTCGTAGATCGGTAACGACCACCGGCTTATCCAAATTTTCTAGGAAAAACGACAGGGCAGAGGCGGTGTACGCCAGCGTATCGGTGCCATGGAGTACAACAAACCCATCGAACAAATCGTACGTCCTCTAGAGTTAGCGATTTCTATGAGATGCATATATTTCATTTAAATTTATTTGTAATACATACACCAATATCTTGGGCTATGCGTTTCCAATCTTTCCCGGCCATATTACTGGAGTCCAGCAATGGATCGTACTCTATGAATTGGTAGATAACCCGTACTGACTGACCTTTTACCAGGGGCAGCGCCAGGAAGCCGTCTGGGACCTGTAGGCTGGGGTCATGCAGACTGACATCCTTCCGGATGATTCCTTTCAAAAGCTTTCGGTTCTGGCACTAATACTAAAAGATTCAAAAACACAACACTGAACTGGAGCTATCCGTATGCACTTGGAGGCCTCTTACCACCATTGTCGTTGGGAGTCATCCCAATGGTGCCACCAGTATAGATGACAAGGACTCTTTTAAAATTTAGACACTTCGACATTGTGGAAATAATGTTTTTTATCCCCAATCGGCCGACTAATTATTCGAATTAAATAAAATTCGGCGCAGAAATAAAATTGCGATATGTTTTTTAATGCGTGACATCCAAATTGCAAGTGTGGCTTGTCTGCCCTTTATATTGGCGCTCCGATCGCTGAGCGCAGCTTCGCTCGGCCGACGTCGGTAGGCAGACGCAAAGCGGAGATAGCGAAGAGCGAGCTGGCAGGGAGCGTTTAGTAGGGCAAGCAAGCGCAACGCTTTAACAAACAAATGAGTGACATAGACATAAGTAACAAACAAAATAAGCGGCTGAGGGCCAAGAATTAGGTGCTATTTGGTAAGCAGCTAATCGGCTGGGTTCTGCTTCGAACATTCACCCCCCGTTGGAAGGCAAAGGCTTTCAACAGATCCATCCTGAAGGGGCAGAACCGCTATTTTTCCAACGGCCCTCTTGAAGATGCTTGCCTGGGCGCAGCTGGCGGCTACGCTGGGTTGATCGTCGAACGCAGCAATCGGCGCTTCCTTACGAAGGCGGCTTGTCGTGATTACGTCTTGATCATCGGGAACCTCTGCAATTGCATAGAATGGCAGGAAATTTGGCAATGTAGAAATTTTTGAAAGTTGAATTTCATTTAGCGTGGATATGTAGGTTTTTAATATATGGAAAAGTTCGCGCTGCAGTTCCTGATTCTCCGATCGCAGTTTTTCCACTTGCACCTGGCACTGGTGCAGCTGCTTCCTGCATTGCTGCTCTACGTTTTGGTACTCCAGCGTTGTGGGTCGAAAATCGTCAATAGAGATGCCCGAGGAATTTTCAAAAGCGGCTAAAGCTGCACGCTTATTCTCCGAGCTATCAATGCTTCCTGATACTATCCAACTAAGTTTTGTCTCCTGCAATGTTGGCAATTGGGCTGACAGTCGAATCTGTCCGACGCACATTAAATCGAAGAACAAACCAGAACCTATCAACAGATCGATACGTTGGGGCTTGGCGAAATTACGATCAGCTAGTTTTAGATTATTCGGCATTGGCCAATCCTTTGCGTCTACGCCGAAGTTAGGCTGCATTTCCGTAATTGAGTTGGTGACAATTGCAGCGAAGGAAGCTCGATAGCTTGCGTCCTGGGATTGTACAACTATATGTACAGACTTGCTCGAAGGTAGAATGGAATCTCCGATTCCAGCGATGTGAACATAAGACGAGCGATGATCCAACTGCAACTGATCAGCGAGTCTAGATGTTACAAAGTTTGCCTGTGATGCAGAATCCAAAATGGCACGACATGGGATAAGTGCTCCATAACGATCTGTTACATGGACGAGGGCAGTAGGTAGCAACACGTTCTGGATAGGCTGAGATTTCTGGATCGAGGGGGGAGGGCTAGAACACCCGCTTGCTAGAAGCACAGTCGCGGCCTCTTGCTGGATCGATTCCTCGGCCGGTGAAGAGGAAGATGAAGCACCAGCTCCCGATGGAATGTGGAGTAGCGTGTGATGTTTGGCCTGGCAATGCCTGCAAAGTCCTGACCTGCACCTCTGCAATTCATGGCCTTTGTTGAGGCAGTTCAAACACAAGCGGCTCTTCTTTGCTTCTTTGTATCTTTCAAACGCAGAGAGATTCAGGAATGCCTGACATCTAGATATGTAATGCTCGGAGGAATTGCAATGGTTACATATGGGGTTAGGATGGTCGTTACTGGAGGTGATAAGGGTGACAGGTTTGTCTTCTCCCACCTGTTGACTAGGACTTGTTGCCATGGCTGATCCCAAATTCTCCAGCATCCGACATCTCGCTTCCAAAAATGAGGCCATGCTTGACCACCGAGGTAGTCCTGACGTCGGCAAGTTCTCTTCCCATTTCTCCTTTGTTTTGTGGTCCAGTTTCGTGCCTATGATGGATCTGCATGGGTATCCAAAGATTCGGACCCCTAAGCAAGCCTTCCGTTTTGTTCTATGTACATATGTCATATTTTTCCGTTTGCACTGGTCTTTTGCATAATGATTCATAACTGTGGCTGTTGCTGTGGCTGTGTATCTGTACCGCTCCCTCGTGTTCGATTCTTGAATTCAATGTACATGTCGGTGCTATCTTGTTCTTACAAATCGCGTGCTGATCGAGCACTTGCCGTTGCCGTTCCCATTCCCCCTCCCTGGCACAGATCCGATTCTGCTTTTGCTTCGCCCCGTGTTTGACAAGAGCGCTACACACGGTTTTAATGATTCCCTGTGGTCTGTGGACGTCGAAGCTCCAATAAGAATTATGACTTTTTCAATGTGATTTCATTAATTTTGTCTGCCGGCCTTCTTGTAATAGTATGGAGTGTGGAGCCTCAGCTGAGTCGCCGCTGTTGGTGTTGATGTCGACTTCAGTTTCTTGAACCCAGCACCAATAAAAAAACCTGCGCAACTTAATTAACTTTCTATTGCTGTCGTTTCACCTTTCCCATCATTGCATAACATAACTGCCAGAATAAAGATAGTCATTCGCCGTTATCGCGGTCTTATCTGCATTAAAAAACATCGTAGTGCTAGCAGAGATAACAGAGAAAGCTCGATTTAGTCGAGTGGACAAGTTATTTGTATGAATGGATGATTAATCGCTATATTGAGTTCACAAATGCACATTATTCAATTATTATTTCCCGGAAAACCCCCGTATTTGCTTATTTGCTCATGCGATTATGTCGGTGATCTCATTGTTGGCCAAAAGAAGCAGGCGTGCAAAATTCCGCTTGGGATTCGACTTCTTGGACTTCCCCTGAAAGGAAATACTCGTATATGGATTTCAGTGGTTTCCTCTGCACGGCTTTGTTCTAATTGCGCTTGACTGATTTTAATAGCAGACTTGTGCGTTGGACTCCGTCTATATATATATACATATACATAGGTTATTAATCAAACAGGCAACTCGCGCCTTCCCCTTTATTGTATTTTAATTACCTGGAATCACGGCTGCGGGCATGTCGGACATGATGTCACTTCATCTGGCGAGGCAATTTGTCACTCATCCTCATCCAGCAAAAGAGAAGCACCAAAGCCAAGCAGTGGCAATAACCACAATCCGTCTAAACACCTACTCTTTGGTGGCAGCTACATCACTTCATCTTCATTTTTATCTCCATTTCCATTACCATTTCTATCACCAAGTACTGGCCCACGACGATGTTGGATTGAGCTGGCTGTTGCTGAGATTGGTCGTCCAATGTGAGCTTGTTTGTTGGTTTTTAATTGGCAGCGCCATAATCTATCATTAATTTTGCAATAAATTGTTTCCATCAATGCGAGGGCTGCCGCACCAATCCGGTTGCCTGGTCTCCCTTTGGAGAGCATTTTATTTATTTTTATACCCGATACTCAAAATGAGTATTGGGGTATATTAGATTTGTGGTGAAAATGGATGTGATGTAAAGTATATGTATATATTATTGATCAGCATCAATAGCCGAGTCGATTGAGCCCTGTCTGTCCGTCCGTCCGTCTGTCCGTCCCTATTAGCGCCTAGTGCTCAAAGACTATAAGAGCTAGAGCAACGATCTTTCGGATCCAGACTTCTGTGATATGTCACTGCTACAAGAATATTTCAAAACTTCGCCCCGCCAACTTCCGACCCCACAAAGGACGAAAATCTGTTGCATCCACAATATTGGGGATACAAGAAAACTAAAAACGCAGAATCATAGATAATGACCATATCTATCAGATTGCTGAATCTGGATCAGATCAGATCGTTTTTATAGGCAAAAGGAACAAATCAATTTGCAGTGGCTACGCAGCGCCCGACGTCACGCTCAGACTGATTTTCTGTCTCTCTCGCACGCACTCTTTGTCGTGTCGTTTAATATTAGCGGAGTCTGCCGGAGGAGAGCCATACTGACTAAGTATCGGGTATAAATGTAGAGTTGCGGTGTCCGCAGCAACTCACAACGTTTCCCCTTGTTATTTTTCTATAAAGCGATCTTTTCATCTGCGTTTGCAAGATTTATGCGCGCGGCTATAAAATAATATGCTGCCATAGCAACGCCGCTCTGCGCCGCGCCGCTCCAGCCAGAGCAGACAACGACTGGGATCTGGTAGTCGGGTGCTCCAGTGTATTGTACATCCTCGGATGGTCATCCTTTGGGCCAATGCCAACTATTTAGGTGGCTAAAAATAGCGTCCCAACACACATACCACAGCAATTGCAATCACTCAGTTTGTTGCTAAAGTCTTTTGTTTTATTTCTGTTTGCATTTTTCAGTGTCAGGCTTGATGCCTCTGCCACTGCCACTGCCTCTGCCTCCGCCTGTACCTCTGCGTCTGCCGCTCTCTGTCCGTTGGCCCAGAATGAAAAAAGGAGGCAATCGGCATGGGATCGCCTCCTCATCGCCTCACCTGAAAGTGAGTTATGCAGTCAACAGTTCATAGAAAATATCTCCCATACTTGTACACACAGATATACTCGTATTTCATCACAATGTTAACTATTTCCCTCTGCGCCATGTGAAATGGGATCGGCTTTTAATTCAGAAGAGCACTTGAGATGGTTTTGATAAAGCATTTCATCAGGCTTTCACCAATCATCAAACGTGAAAGACCAGCAGTCTGCAAGAGTACAAAATACAAAAGAAAAAAAAACAGAATTCAATAAAACAACGCCCATGGGCTAAATGGTGTATTGGGTATTCATGGCCGGAGCTGGACATGGATCTGGTCATGGCCATGGACGAGGTACCTCCATTCACATACACATTTTGTAATAAAATTAATGACACGTCATTACCGTAATATTGTTGTTACAATGTGAGCCGCAAGTACTGGGACTCGACTCCTCACATCGTGTTGCAGCCACGTCTATGGACTGCGACTGCGGCTGGGCCCTCGTGGGGTAAGCACGAGAGTAAGGTGAACCGTTACCACCAGAGTCTCGGTCCAGAGCTGCAGGGTGAAAAAATTTATTCATTCTTTTCGGCCAGCACCCGTCATTAGTTCTAAAGCATTTAGCGTTTAA